GAAGTTGTGCGTCCGGATAATGACAGTTTTCCACTAAGTGTTCGTCTGGTTTTTGACTCATGCAGTCAGCGATCATACATGACTAAGGACCTTAAAGACAAACTGGGGTTATCAGTAATTGGTAGAGAGTCACTTCTAATCAAAACCTTTGGTGAGTCTGACGCCAGGCTACGAACATGTGAAATTGTTCAAGTGGGTATCAAAACCAGATGCGATGCAATTGTGTACATTCAAGCCTATGTGGTGCCAGTCATATGTGGCCCTCTGACCCAACAACCCACAGAGCTTGCTCAGTCTAGCTACGAACATCTGCATGACCTCAGTTTAGCCGACAGGTGTGGCGGCAGAGATTTGCCCATCAGCATTCTCATTGGTGCTGATTATTATTGGTCATTGGTCGAAGGTACTATTGTGAGAGGTGCACCGTGGGAACCTGTTGCTCTTGCTACAAAGCTAGGATATGTCCTCTCCGGACCCACTATGATTGTGTCTAACCGTGACAATGGTAACACTGTGAATCTTACTGCGACGCATGTACTGAAAGTGGAAGCAAGTGTCGTCGGTCAAGATGAACTTGCCTCTGAACTTGGAAAATTCTGGGACTATGAGTCACTTGGCATTCGAGATAAAGGTTCGTCTCTGTATGACAAATTTGTTAGCGAAGTTGAATTCACTGAAGGAAGATATCAAGTACAGCTACCTTTCAAAGAGGACCATGAGCTGCTTCCAGATAATTTTGCTTTGTGCAAATCAAGGTTGGTCTCACTACTGAAACGTCTGAAATTAAAGCCCGAGATGTTAAAGCACTATGATGATGTCATCCAAGATCAGCAACAACAAGGAATTGTGGAACCTGTGGATCAAGGTGTCAACAATGGTGTGGGAAAAGTACATTACATTCCTCATCATGAAGTGATTCGCGTGGACAAGGACACCACAAAACTTCGTATTGTTTATGATGCCAGTGCACGATCAGGAAAGAACACATCAAGTCTCAATGACTGTTTGTATGCTGGTCCACCACTATCTCCCCTCATCTATGACATCCTCCTGAGGTTCCGGGCTCACAAGACAGCCCTCATAGGAGACATTGAGAAAGCTTTTCTAAATGTTTCAGTTCACCCCAAAGATCGTGACTATCTTCGTTTCCTGTGGGTTGATGATGTCACAAGCAGCCACCCGAACCTACAAGTTTATCGATTTGCAAGAGTTGCATTTGGCGTCTCCGCAAGTCCGTTCCTATTGAATGCAACAATTCGTCATCACTTGACTTCTGCTGACATCCCCAAAGAATTTGCTGAGAGAGTTCTGAAAAGTCTGTATGTGGATGACTTTGTTGGTGGAGATGATTCTGACAATTCTGTTTTCGAGATGTATGAGAATCTGAAGTCATCCTTCAAGAGCGGAGGCTTCAATATGAGAAAATGGGTCTCCAACTCTGAAGCCCTTCAGGAAAGAATTGAACAATCTGAAAGCCAGTCTTCTCAAGTTACAAGCAAGTCTGTCAAGGAGCACCCTGTTCAAGAGGAAGATCAAACCTTCTCGAGTTCCCTGTTTGAGACGTCAAAGAACCCCAGCACAGCAAAACTGAAAGTACTGGGAGTTGGATGGGATAGACGAAATGATTTGTTACTCTTGGATCTGGCCTCTCCACTAGAAACTAGCAATACTTGTCCAGTTACGAAGAGAGCAATTCTTGGTACAACAAGCAAGTTGTATGATCCCCTGGGACTAATTAGTCCAGTCATCATTCTACTGAAGATCATCTTTCAATCTATTTGCAAGACAAGAGTGGGTTGGGATGACCCCGTGGATTCATTCATCCATGAACAGTGGTTAAAGCTTGTTCAAGATGCTAAGAAGGTGGGGGTGGTGGAAGTGAGGAGACACTACCACCTTGGCTTGTCATTAGGAGATTTACAAAGCATTCAACTCCATGGTTTTGCGGATGCAAGTGAGAAAGCCTATGGAGCAGTTGTGTATTTACGTCTTGAAACAACTACTGGAACTGTCTTCACCCAGCTTTTATCGTCAAAAACCAGAGTTGCTCCGATAAATG